AGAACGAGAGAGGAAGAGAGAGAGAGAGAGAGAGAGAGAGAGAGAGAGAGAGAGAGAGAGAGAGATACACAGCAAATCTGCTTTATCCGTCTGTCTTCAGCCCCTCCCTGGTCTACCTGGTTCCTCACACCAAGGACCAGCAAGGCCAGGATCCAGCTCCACATGGCTCCCTCCTTCCTCCTTGTTTCCTGGGGTTGCTATGAGGAAATTCAGGAGCCTCCAGTTCCACAAATCTTTCACTATGAGGTTAGGACTCACTTGAGACAGCTTCCACCCTCTACTAGTCAGGGCTCACTCACCTTCAGGCATCCCACCTTAAGGCAAGAAGGACAAAACTCACTCTTTTGTCTTCTCCAAATTCAGGAAAGAGATGCATTTTTGCCACCCGTGCTCCCTCTTTCTTGTCCCCCTCCCATTCCAGGAGGCTCTGGTGTCCCCAGCAGTCCCAGCTCCTGCCTCCCTCTGTCATAGTTCTGGTTTCTTGTCTGTCACTCTTGGGCACATCTTCCTCAGTTGGGGTTTGTACCCATGTCTACTCAACACTGTGATCTCCCAAGCTCTTTCTCAGGTTCGGGTCTCAGTGTGATCTATAAGCCTTCCAGACAACATGTTTTCTCCCTCATCAATGACCCTCAAACCCATTCCTCTGGCCAGCCCCAGCTTCATTCATTCCTTCACCAGCTCTGGATCCTGGGGCACCCCCAGTCACCTCACACAGACCCCATCCTCCAAACCTTGGGAAAGAGGAACCTTTCAGACCTCCTACCCTGAAGACCATCCTTCAGCTCTGTGTCTTTTCTGTGCCTCCTCTGTAACCCACCACCCTGTTATGGACCCCATTGAAGAGCCAACTCACCAAGGCAGCAGAGCCGTGGCTCTGGGCCTCAAGTTCACATGGAGCCTCTCCCTAGAATGAATGGACCGCCTACAATGAAGAGTTGGTACATGTGCTGGAGGAGATTGACACCACAATTAAGAAACTCCCAGAGTGGGCTGAGGATGCGCCTGTGGAAAAGACTCAGCAGACCCAGCAGGATGAATCCTACATCCACTTCGAGCCCCTGGGCGTGGTCCTTGTCATAGGTGCTTGGAACTACCCCTTCAATCTCACCATCCAGCCCATGGTGGGTGCCATTGCTGCAGGTACGAGAGCTCCATTCTGGAGGAACAGTTATAGGAGGTTGTGGTAACCAGACCTTGTAGCCAAGCTTGCAGGATGGCCTCTCCATATACCTGTGGGGTCGGGGTCGGAAGGGTGGGTGGTGTTAAGGACTCTCTGCTAATATGTGACAGGAGAGGCCAGAGCTGTTCTGTCATCCAGCCTGGGCATCTCTCTGTATGTCCTTTCTTCTCCCCCAGCACTGCTCCGGTGGGCGGGGGGCAGGTGGGGTACCTGTAGCAGATGCTCATGTGTGTGCCTGTGTGTGCTCCTGCATTGTGTTCCTATGTTGTACCTGTGTTTCTCAGCATGTACCCGTGTGTACTCACAGCATGCACTCGGGGCTAGCCTCTCCCACTGCCTTCCAAAGGTACATATGTCATGGAATCTCTAGGCCTGGTGGGAAGAGTCTCTGAGGGGGTGTCCTGAGGATGACCCTGACTTTGTATTCTGCAGGAAATGCAGTAGTCCTCAAGCCCTCAGAAGTGAGTGAGAACACAGCAGACCTGCTAGCCACACTTGTCCCTCAGTACCTGGATAAGGTGAGGTGCCCTCTAGAGTTCAAGGATGACTATGATGGGGTCAGGTCTTCAAAACTTGGGAGACAGTGGGTTATTATAATATGTGGGAGGAGTCCAGCTCCTAAAGACAGGGTAAATGGAGCCCTTGAGTTAGGAGAATAATTTACCTCTAGGGTACCCAGGAAAGTACAGAGCTGAAGGGCTGAGGGGCTGCCAGTCTCCTAGTGCCCACTCTATTTGTGGAGTGAGGAGAGGCTTGGTTTTTCTGAGTCTCCTCTGTCTCTTTGCTGGAAGGATCTGTACCCAGTGATCAAAGGGGATGTCCCTATAACCACGGAGGTGCTTGCACAGAGGTTTGACCACATCATGTACACTGGGAGCACGGCTGTGGGGAAGATTGTCATGGCGGCCGCGGCCCTGGAGCTTGGAGGAAAGAGCCCTTGCTATGTGGACAAGGACTGTGATCTGGATGTGGCCTGCAGGTGAGGAGGCTCGGGCTTGGCTGGCTACAGAGGCTTGGGATGCTATCTACCTTTCAACACGTGATGGTGCCAAGCTCTGCACCAAGTAATAAAGACGGTCTCTGCCCCTAAGGAGCCTATAGTTTGGGGTTGGAAGAAGTTGAAGGGAGAACACCATTCATAGACATCTTCCTAGAGGGGTCCTCCAGAGAGAGCACTGACTCTGTGGGCATCATGAGGGTGGTTCTCCAAGTAGAAGCTTCAGGAAAAACAACTGTGGGGTACCCACGGTTTGGAGAACTTTACCAAGCCTCTGCAGGAGATCCCGTCTGAGATCTGGCGAGCAAGACCAGGAACACAGGGCCACTTGCTTAGAGTCCAGGATAGGATTCACATCTGTACTAGTTAGGCTTCTGGCCACCTCCATACCCCAAACATAAGGAAGGATACAAGAGAGGTGTCACCTGGTTTATGTAAGGCTTTGAGAATGTGATCAGACACAGAACACTCACCCCAGATATCCTCAGACCCCTCCCCCCCAGCACCCATGGCATTAAACACTCTGGCTGCAGGAACCCCTGTGGTATGTGTGTGTCTGCAAGTGAGTGGTCGCTTAGGAGGGTCCACTGTGTCCCTCAGCCTTCAGTGCCTTGCCCCTGAGCATGAAGATAGTCTCAAGGCAGCTCCCATGATTAACAGACTGCATTTTCACAGGCGCATTGCCTGGGGAAAATTTATGAACAGTGGCCAGACCTGTGTGGCCCCAGACTACATTCTCTGTGACCCCTCCATTCAAAGCCAAATTGTGGAGAAGCTCAAAAAGTCACTAAAGGTGAGTATGACTGGCAGATGGGAGCAGGTGCAGGGGATGTATTTGGCCACAATTAGTTTCTAGGACCTTGAGAAATACTAGGTACTTCTACTCACAGAAGAAATACGCACACATACTGCAGACAGCTGGGAAAGGTACAAGGCATGATGGGGGGAAGAGCTCCACTCAGATTCCCAACGCCTCCCAAGTCAGTTACTGCCTAGAGCTGGGAAGTCATGGTCATGACAGGACCAAATCTTCCTTGAGGGCCTCATCTCTTCTCAGGATTTCTATGGGGAAGATGCTAAGCAGTCCCGTGATTATGGGAGAATCGTCAATGACCGTCACTTCCAGCGCGTCATACGCCTGATTGAGGGCCAGAAAGTGGCCCATGGAGGCACCTGGGATGCAGCTTCACGATACATAGGTGTGTGTTCTGCCTGTGTGTTTGGACTGCCAGGGTCTACTGCAAGTTTCCAGAAAGTGGGCACAGATACTCAGCAAGTAGGCTTTCCCAAGTGGGCCTGCAGAAAGCTCTGGGGCCCTCAGGAGAGGGCCTCCTCTACAGTCCCAGAAACCTCTCCCACAAGGCAGAGACAAGGGCTTCATCTCCATCTCCAATCTGCACAAGGGAGCAGGGAATAGAGACAGCAGAGGCCCCATGAGCTCAAGACAGGCCAGACTGGGAGGCAGCCTCAGTTGGAGCCCCTTTGGTCCCCAGTTATCAAGGAGGCAGGGGAGTTCTGGGATGGACACATGAGGTCAGCAGATGAAATAGCTGTCCCTTCACTGTTTAGATTCTGCTTTCCTATGCAGGTTAGTCTGTAAATATCCCCATGGTCTGCCATGATGGATCCAGGACCTGGGGACTGGGGAGAGGTGGGCATGAAAAGAGAGCACTTCAGCTCTTGTCTTTGCCCACATAAGCTTGACAGCTTCCTTTCCAAAGAATGGAAGCAGGAACTAGACGTTGACACTGACATGTGTGTACATGTGTGTGTTGGGGATTGGGGGTGGGGCAGCGCAAATACTCTATCTCACTTCCTGCCTCAGCTCCCACCATTCTCGTGGATGTGGACCCCCAGTCCCAGGTGATGCAGGAGGAGATCTTTGGGCCAGTGATGCCCATCGTGAGTGTTCAAAGCTTGGAGGAGGCCATTAAGTTCATCAACCAGCGTGAGAAGCCCCTGGCACTCTACGTGTTCTCTAACAACAACAAGGTGGGCCTAGGAGTCCCCCTCCCAACTTCCTGGCCTCTCAGGCACAGCACTTACATGCAAGAGGACCCAGGGACCCACAGGGCCTGGGTTCAAGTCTGCAGCTTCCTCTTTCATTAGACGTGTGAACCTGGGCAAATCACTTAACTTGTCCGAGCCTCCTTAGCCTTAGCTCTAAGATTATGACAGTTTCATCTTCCTAGAGCTGTGAATGGGTTAGTCATTGCCACAGGGTTGTGGAACCACTGCTGTTTCCCCATACAGTGCTAAGAGTCCTGTGGAATTTGTAGAGGGCTGGAGATGCCAAGGGGCTAAGGATTATGGAGCTGGTGACTAGGACTCAGCTTTCACTAGTCCCTATTCTTTTTTTTTTTTAAAGATTTTATTTATTTATTATGTATACAACATTCTGCTTCCATGTATATCTGCACACCAGAAGAGGGCACCAGGTCTCATAATGATGGTTGTGAGCCATCATGTGGTTGCTGGGAATTGAACTCAGGACCTCTGGAAGAGCAGTCTGTGCTCTTAACCTCTGAGTCATCTCTCCAGCCCCCCTAGTCCCTATTCTTGAGGCTCCAAGATATGTTCAGAAAGGGTGGAGAGAATGCAAGGTGGCTGCCTGGGTTTTTACACAGGTGATCAAGAAAATGATTGCAGAGACATCGAGTGGCGGAGGGACAGCCAATGATGTCATTGTTCACATCACTGTGCCTACTTTGCCCTTCGGGGGTGTAGGTAAGTCTAGTGTGGGGACCCTAGTCCTGATCACTCTGGCCTTTTACAGGGGTCCCAAGCCTGGGGTCACAAGGCCATTTAGTGGCATGGCTGGGATGACACTCTTCCTGGGCTCTCTTCTGCCTGGCCTAAGTACCTAGGGGACACTCTAAGGTTTGGCTACCCCCCAGGATGCTCAGAAAAAAGAGATCATAAGGGTTGTGAGTACAAGATGGGCTGGAATCCTGGCCCTGAACTGACCTCCCATTTAGGGAACAGTGGCATGGGGGCCTACCATGGCAAGAAAAGCTTCAAGACCTTCTCCCACTCCCGCTCTTGCCTGGTAAAGGCTCTACTGTATGAAAGAATCCTCAGGAACAGGTACCCCCCAAGCCCAGCCAAGGTGAGAGGCAAGGCCCTCAGTGTTGGAGGGTGTGGTGGACTGCACAGGACAGGGGCACAGGACCTTGGCTCTCATGTCCTCTTCCTGTCCTTGTAGATGTCCCAGCACTGAGAGGACCGTTGCACCTAACTCATTTCTGCTGGCTGTCTTGTCCTTGGAGAATTGCTCTTGGAGCCTCATCCTGGCTTCTCACCCACCTGCTGCCCTGTGCATGTGCTCAACTCGCAGATGGCTCACCTCACCCCGCCACATTCTGCTGTTTGCTCGGCACAGAGATCAATAAAGCTTTCAGAAAGAAAGTTGTGCATGCAATACTTCTTTTTATATCCTAATCCCAAGTCCTTCAAGGTGTAGTCACCCTGATAAGCCTACAGAGAAAGCTCTCTCCCCAACATTAGCTCATGGGAGATAGCAGGTCTTGGTTTGGGGATGACATTTAACTTCCCCTTGTCATGTTTGGCATGTCAACTCCATTCCTGGTGTCTGGATGAAGGAGGCTGAGCCTTGATGACTAAGTGTCTCTGGAACCAGGTGCCAATACCCTTCTCAAATCAGATTTAACCTGAGAATTTATCTATGGAAGGGGTCTCTCTGTGAGACAGCACAGTGGTCAGTACCAACAACCCCCACTGTTACAGAACCACCCACTACCCAGTCCTCCAATCACTAATTGTTTTGCCAGAGGAAGTTCATTATGAGGTGGCTGAGCTCAGAGGCAGAGCCCTAACACTCAAATCCATGAGAAATGGCTGAAGGCCTGTGCATGTGTGATCTAAAGATCACTCATCAGATCCAAGTGTATGGTTTCAAGAAAAACAGGGGGGGTTTTGTTGTTGTTGTTTGTTTTTTGTTTTTTTGTTTTGTTTCTTTTTTGTTTTTTGTTTTTTTGTTTTTTTTTTTTTTTTTGCAAGGACAAAGGTTTCTTTATTGACTCGAGGATACAAGCTACAGCAAGGACCCCATTCGTTCGGGAACAAATGGAGTACCATTTTCGACTGAGGGGTGTTTTATAAGGGAAAATTGTAGGGCTGGAAGCCCCAAGATTACAGAACTTCCCTGGTTACACAGGACAGGGCAATGGTCTCAAGAAAAGCAGTTTTGAGTCCCTGGAGGATAGCATAGGCAACCGTTACTGTAAACCATACTGTAGAGGGGTCACCTACAGCAGCATACTAGACCAGGCCTGGCCATTGTCCCAATACACTAATTAAAGACAAGTAGTGATGAATGGCAAAGCAAGGAGATTTAATTATCATGGCCACATTAGGAAGTATGTATGTATGATTTATTAGAGTGGCATACAGGCTGTGGTCCACTAGTCCAACAATGGCTGTATCCTGACAGAAAGGTCAAGAATCCAGTAGTTGTTCAGTCCACAGACTGGATATCTCAGCAGTTCCAATCTACGGTGGAGTCCCAAAGATTACTAGAGAGGGGCTGGCCTTCAATCCATGGTTCTGAGGCATTGGGACCTTGACATGGGCATGCCAACAACACACATTTGCTCAGGACTTCATCCATGCTTTTTGTTTTGTTTTTGTTTTTGTTTTTGTTTTTGTTTTTGTTTTTCGAGACAGGGTTTCTCTGTGTAGCTTTGGAGCCTATCCTGGCACTCGATCTGGAGACCAGGCTGGCCTTGAACTCACAGAGATCTGCCTGCCTCTGCCTCCCGAATGCTGGGATTAAAGGCGCGCACCACCAACGCCTGGCCATCCATGCTTTACACAAGCACCCAAGGCTTTCTCTGTTCTCCACAACTTTTTGATGAGCATTTACATGGGATGCAACTATCTTCATAGCCTTTGCCCCTTTTGAGAGATCTATCCACATACTTCTTCCCCAAAGGTGTTTCTCCCTGAATTTCCAATCGTGCTTTTTCTAAGTTCCTGACCATCCAGCCAATCCATTGGCCCCAACCCATGAATCGGTGAACAATTGCACATCTGGCCATTTTTCTCCTGTCAAGTAAAACATATGACCATGTGTATTGCCCAAAGTTCTGCCCACTGTGAAGATTTTTTTTCTGTTGTCCTTTAAGATTTTCTCAGAAAGAAGTTATAATGCTGCTGCTGTCCACTTCTGTGTGGTACCTGCATATCATGCAGAACCATCAATGCCAGGCCCTAGTCTTCTCTTCCTCAGTCAACTGATGATAAGGCCTATCTCATGAGACTATATGTGCATGCTTAGTAGCAGATGACATTGTAATGGGTGTAAAAACCATAGGCATTTGGGCAACTTCTTCATGTAACTTGCTTGCAACCTCAGGACCTGCTCATCCCAATCATGCATATACTTGATAATGTACTACAAGTGTCTTGGTGAGTCAGATAATACTCATCTCATGATAGTAACTTAGTCACCCACTGTCAAATGTTCACTTTTGTGGGATTTCTCAATGTGGGTTTCTCTGTGTAGCCCTAGCTGTCCTGGAACTCACTCTGTAGACCAGACTGGCCTTGAACCCACAGAGATTTGTGGGATTAAAGGGGTGCACTACCACACATGGCAGCTCTTACATTCATTTTGCTCCCTCTTTCACAGTGATTCTGGAGTCTTTTAAGGAGGGAGTATAATACAGATGTCCCACTCAGGGCTGAGCAGTCCACAGTCTCTTAGTCTTTGCACCTTGACCAGTGTGGGTCTCTGTGTTAGTCACCACTTAGAGCAAAAAAAGAAGTTTTTTTGATGAGGGTTGAGAGATGCATTGATTTATGGGTGTGCTGGATAGTTTTATGCCACCTTGACACAAGCTAAAGCCATCTGAGAGCAGGGAATCTCAATTAAGAAAATGTCTCCATAAGACCTGGCTGTAGGCAAGATCGTAGGGCATTTGCTTAATTAGTGATTGATGTGGGAGGGTCCAGCCCATTGCAGGTAGTGACATCCCTGCACTGGTAGTCCTGGGTTCTATAAAAAAGCAGGCTGAGAAAGCCATGAGGAGCAATTCAGTAAGCAGCACCCTTCAATGGCATCTGCACCAGCTTCTGCCTCCAGCTACCTCCAGCTTCAGGTCCAGCCCTCCTGTGTTCCTGTCCTGGACTTCTTCAATGGTAGCGTGTGATGTGAAAGTGTAAGCCAAACAAACACCTTCCTCCTCACCTTGCTTTTGAACATGGTGTTTCATCATAGCAATAGTAACCCTAACTAGGATAATGGGTATGAAATAAGTCTTTAGGACTTGGTTTAATACTATGTCCATTTAGCACAATAGTAATAGGTTCTGCCCTAGAACCTCTGGCCTATGTAGCCACATGTTCTTGACCTTGATAATAATGCCAATGTGGATTCTATTTCATGAAGCAGAGTGTAAATCCAATCAGAAAGTGGTATATTTACACAATGGGTTATTATTCAGCTATTAAGAAAAACAAAGTGATAAAGTCAGCCTGGTGCTGGCATAAGAGTAGACAGACAGACCAATAGAATAGAATAGAGGACTCAGAAATAGGGTGTCAAAGCTATGCCCACTTAATATTTGATAAAGGAGGCAAAACCATACTATGGGAAAAAAAAGATAGCCTATCTAGCACATAGTGCTGGGAAAAAAGTGGATTTCTACCTGTAGGAAATGAAATTAGATTTATGTCAAAAATCAATTCTAAATGGATTCAAGTTCTTAATTTAAAGCCACAAACATTGAAAGATTTAGGAGAAACACAGGGGATACCCCTCAAGATATTGGGGTAGGCAAGACCTTTTTAAAGAGAACACCAACAGCACAGGAATGAACCCCTGTATCCACAGGTGGACAACACGAAAAGAAAAGGTTCCTATACAGCAAAGGAAATGAGCAACAGAGTTAACAGATAGCCTAGAGAATGGGAAGGAATCTTAGCCAGCTACACTTTGGAAAAGAGGCTAATGTCCTTGAACTTACAAAGAACTGCAGGTACCACAGGAATAAACCAGTCAATCAACAGATAAGTTAGTGAACTGAATAGATAGATTTTAAAAAAAAGAAACAGAAATAGCTAATAACCACTTTAGTGTTCAATATTCCTATAAGGGAAATGCAATTTAAAATGAATTTGAGATGCCACCTCACCTTATAATCAGATTGTCTATCATCAATAAGTTGACACCAGATTTTGGAGAGGATGTGGAGAGAAAGGAACCCTCATTCACTGTTGGTATGGGTGCAAATTAATATACGTATTGTGGAAATCAAATTGGAGATTTCTCAAAAAAGTTAAAAATAGAACTTCCATATGACCCAGCTATTTAACTCCTGGGCATATACCCAGAAAACTCCATACCTTACCATCGAGATATTTGCGCCCCATGTCCATTGCTGCTTAATTTACTATAGCAAAAAATTGGAATCAATCTAGTTGCCCATTAAGAGATGAATTGATAATGAAATCTGATGATTGTACAAAATGTAATACTACTCAGATCTAAAGAAAATTGAAGTAAAAACACTTTCACAAAATGGATGGACTTACAATATATATTAAGCAAGGTCACACGATTTCAGTAAGATGGATTCTAGTCAATAATAAGACATGTGTACACAGAAACAGATGTGCATGTGGGTACAGATAACATGAAGAAAAGAGAAGAAGGAAGACTAAATACTAGCAGGTGAGGAAGGACTGAATGCAGGTGATAGACACGAGTTATGAAAGGATATACAGCTAATTGTTTTTCTAGTTGTAACTCTATCATGGATTTGTTTGTTTGTTTTGGTGGTGGATAGGTGCATAAAACATACTCAGTACTGAAAGTGTAAAATTGAATGTGAAGAGTGTACATTCTGAGTGCCAATTCTAACTGTACAGAAGTTAGTTCATTGAGTGTAGAGAAGAAGAAGGCTTCAGGTCCGGTCTATTCTGGTGTGTGATGTTTTCATTTATTTGCAAGGCTTTAAAATAAAGCTTGTAAGACAATAAAAAATGAAATTGTGAAATCCATAGGTAAATGAATGGATCTAGAGACACTTGTTCCCAGTGAGGTAATCCAGACCTAGGAAGACAAACCACATTTTCTCTCATTTGTGGATGTAGCTTTAAATCTTCAGATAAGCACGCTTCATTTGAAATACCCATAGAGGTCAGGGAAGTTTCCAAGAGATGCAAGAGGTCATGAGGAGGAGGTTTTCAAGAGAG